TATATATATATATATATATATATATATATATATTCAAATAATTGTAACAGTTTATTTTTAAAGATAACCACATTTATTTTTAAAAATATTTAAATTAAGCATTAGGAGTTTCTACTATTACAAAAAAAATCGTTACTTATCCACCATCACTTTTATTGTTGGGCATTGCTCTCCTTACTATCGCTATTGCCCTCATTACTATCATCCACCATCACAAATATCGGCGCCCACCCATTGATGTTAATCAGAGTCCATAGACATTACCGCTGACAAACAACAATATTAATGATCATAACAACCATCTTCCCTACTACCACTTCTATTTAACAACACTGGTTGTCATCATCGACTCACTAAACACATTCGCCACCCCGCCATGGCAATCACTACCACCATCATATAAAAATAAAATTATTTGATATTTAATACAGATAATAAAATATTTAAAATAACAAATATTTTAGTTTTATGTCAAAATACAAATAATGTAAATTAAAAAAAAATCCCAAATAGTTGGGCCTTCAAATGAATCTAACTAATTTGAACAAAAGTTTACTTAGCTTGAGCTAGTTTGATAAATTATTATTATATTCAAGCTTGAGCCTAGGCTTGATCGATTCAAGTTTGGGGTATTTTATTGTCCTAGCTTTCCGAGTTTGATTTTCCTCTATTCATTAGCCAGTAAAATAAGTTTTATGAATCATTTTAATAAATATCTTTTTAGTTTAACTATATAAGTTTTATCAAGCTTTTAAAAAGCTTATTAATGATGCTTAAATATTATTGTTTATGATTATAGATAGATCAAACATTATGCTATTTAAAGTTTTTTAATTTTCAACGAGTATATATATATTTTTGGAGACACGTTTTAATTTATACTTCCGCAAATAATTTTCCTCCTGAGGCTATAATTCTCCCTCCACAATCAAAAAAAATATTGTATACGGACACAACATGTAGAGATGCATGCGGTGTCCGATCTACACTGTAGATAACAGTGATTTACCGTGAATATACAATTAAATGTTTTTTTTTTTTAAATAAAAAAAATTTAAAGTTGGGGTGTATGTAATAATTTTTCCCACAAACGGAGAAATTCGAAAGATGCTCTATAAAAGGATGCGAGAGAGGGAGAGTGTGCCCCGCTCAACTTCCCAAGCAAGTACCAGACTTCATGCCCATGCTGGGCGTTACTGTACACAAAAATGGAGAAATGACCCGCGAATTGAAGAAGCAAGAAGGGGTGAAATTCAAAGCTTGAAGAAAGTGCCCTAGTTCATGGATCAACAGAAGCATCTCTTCCTCGATCACCTGATAGGCATTATGTCGTCCAAGCGCCGTGTCCTCTATGGCTTCGTTCTTGGCATCGCGGCCTCCATCCTTGTCGTCTACCTCCTCGCTTCCATCAATACCTCCGGTGCCTTTCCTCGCTTTCTCTTTCCCCGCTTTAATGGCTCAGCCTCTGCTTCATGTTTGGGAAATTCCAACTTCTACTGTTCTCGCACCGGCAAAAATGCAATTGCTTCGGAAAGCGCAAACCGTACTTCCGTAACTGAAACCCTTGGAGGCAACTTTTCTCAGCCTCAGTCTTATCTGGGTTCGGTGAAAACCAAACAAGAGAGCTATGTGAACTCCCTGAGTTCAAGCGTCAACGAGATGAAGAAACCCCTCTTTGAGAATATTTCGATGAATGCCACAGATGTATTGGAGGTGGGGCGAGGTAATGTGACGAAGCAGTTAATTGGTGATTTTAGAGTAAATATTGGGAGTTCGCAGAACTTCTCTGTAAGTAAAAGCGGCAACTCTGATGCTTCGGTGAAGGGAGTAGTTGGAGATTCCCAGAAGAAGTGTGATATATTTGATGGAAAATGGGTGAGGGATTCGACCAAGCCTTATTACGCACCGGGTTCTTGCCCTTACATCGACATTGATTTTGATTGCTATAAGAATGGGAGGCCTGATGATGAATTTTTGAGATGGAGATGGAAGCCACATGGCTGCGACATTCCAAGGTTCCCGATCATTCTATATATCCGTTCTCCCCTTAATTTCATTTTTGCTGTTATTAGTGTATACCCTCTTAATTTTAGTTGCTGCTACTAGTTGCACTGTTGCTTGGTTTAGCAGTTCTGGAATCACTCGCATTCTTTTGTTGGATAGCGCACGTGGCTTAAAATTTGACTTTTTAGTAACTGAATTTAAAACTTCTTGAAAACCTCAGTAAATTCTGATTTTCAATTGTAATTACCAATTAAAAACTAGCATTTCTCTCACAGCTTGTTTGTCTCTCACCACTCAAGTTTCTCCCGCATACTTCATTCCTAATCTCGTGGTGGAAAAAAAACTTGCATTTTCTTTGGCGATGACAGAAAATTTAATGTCTTAGGATTATACAAAGATCCCACATACACATTGATAAATTGCTAGTAACACAATATAAATGCACTTTTTACATGCAAAAATTGAATGAGATAAATTCATGAGATCTAGTTAGTTGAAATAGTTTTACTAGTAAGCGCTATTGATTATAAGTGGTGCTCTACCCCATAACTAGAGATAATGTTAATAAATTGTAATAAACATGAAGTACGTGTGGCCTATACCACGTTGATAATAGAAGCCTTGTGTTAAGTTGTCATAATGCTATGGTGGGTTGTTAGCTTGATCCTTCTCTTGATATGAGAGAAGCCATGTGTTAAGTTGTCATAATGCTAAGGTGGGTTGTTAGCTTGATCCTTCTCTTCATATGAGTGGAGATCAAGAGATTGATAAGATGATCATCAGATGTTGGTGGTTGAAAGGCAAAAGATATCAAACATTAGCAGGTGTCTGATGAGGATTGATGGGAAATATTTGAAATTAGGTGATAGTAGGGATCTTTTGACAAGTAGGGAGAACAAGCAACATTGAAGAAGGTTGTGAGATGTTGACGGTTGATGAATGCTAGACACTAATCCTTTGTAAGGTTAGATGACTATTAATGGACAATATAAGGATTTTTGTGGTGGTAATTAGTTGGCTTGATCATTCTTTTGATAAGATGAGTGATATAGAAGGCCTGCATTTTATGTAATTGGTTGATGGTTGCTACAATTTAGTATTTGGTAGACGTTGGACGACAATCGATATGGAACGTTAGAATTCAGGCACCAATGAATGATCAAATTTGTTATTCTTCTGGTAGGAGAGGAGATTATATTATTGAGAAGACAAGCACAATCCTCATAATTAACCATTTATTAGAAGATACCACGGCCATAAAAGTGAAAAATAACGTTAAAATTATCAAAGACAAGACATTTCAACTTCCAGGTTAAAGAATCTTTGGAAATATCTCTCTTAAGGTCTTTTAGAAATTCTTCCACAGAAATTCTATTGGAAACAAGAAGTCATTAATGTAAGAATTATTATTACTTTATATCTCAGGAGAATTTTGAACTTCAACTTCTAATGATACTAAAGATACAAAAGCGTCGTAAATTCATTGAGAAAAGTCATTGCAAATTCATCAAAGGAAGATATTATACTCCACACCCTCTCAAAAAAAAAAAGAAAAAAAAGAAAAGAAAACCATATGAGCCTTGCACATAATGGATCAATTTTTACCTTTAATAACTGACAACTCCTGATGTTAGATCCACTACATTATTCAATGGATCTTCAATTCATCTCTCGAAACAAACTCTATTATAAATAACTATTGTTGGATATCGTGGAGCATTATAAAAATTTCTTCATGATATTAACATAAAACTAGAAAATATTATATTACTTGTGCTACATACGCAAAGACCACACTTATGTATGGATACATCTGAAGGCAACTTTTTGGTTTCAATTTGATTTGAATTTGGAGAAGCCAACGAATGAAGCTATGTGAATTTACTGGATTGAAATGTTTACTAGGTGCAAAACTTCTATTTGACAATGTTTTGAAGAATGGGTAGATGGATTAGTGGTACAATGATAGTATTTAATGAAGTTGTTTAATGGTGTTTTTTTTTTCCGGAAAATTGAGAGCTGTAAACTTCTCTATAATAAAACACGATGACTATGACGTTTTTGTCATGACAATAGGAGATTCTTGAAAGAAATGTGATATAATTAATGGAAGATGGGCAAGAGATTCGACCAAAGCCTTATTAATTCCCTATTTTTGCTCTTATGTTGACATTGATTTTGATTGCTATAAGAATGGGAGGTTTGATGATGAGTTCTTGAGATGGAGATGGAGGCCATATGTATACCATATTCTAAAATTAGCGATTGTTCTGGATATTTGCTTTTCCATAGATTTTAATTTTAATCGAACAAAACTTGCTTCGTTGTTATTATTAGTTTATACCATGGTAATTTGTGTTACTGATACTAGTCACACATTTGCTTGGTTATAAAGAATGATTGAACGAATTTAAATAATATATACATCATAGACTTGATTCTTTGCAAGCAGATAAATAGAGTCAATAGCGTTTAACGTGACAAAATAATATCTTTTAGATATCTTAATAATGATCGTGTTGACATAAAATCGTAATTGGAGAGGTCTTGACTATTAAAATGCTTTCGAATCCAAATCAAATCAGTTTGGGCATAAATATAATTAAAGTATAACAATCTTAGAAAATTATAAAATATACAACTGTTTTAAGTGAAATTTATTGTTTAAAGCTAAACAACAATAACTCATTTACCCATCACAATTATTTGCAAGGGTGATAAATTTAAGATGACTTCAGCCCATAAAGAGTCAATATCATAACAAGTATATATTTATGATCACTCTTAAAGATCCCATTTTAATAAGGATGCAATAGTGATGCTATTTCCTTTATTTTGTGTAGTTTGATGTTCTTGTAAATGATGAGATTTCTCATACCACTAAGCTGTATTTGGAAAACCCTTAGAAACTACTAATGACTATCACAATACCATTCCAGCTTTCGGGAAATGACAAAAGCGGACCTAAAATGTAAAACATAAATTTTGTTGTCGAACTTGATGTTCACGAAGTGATTAAGTTGAAGTAGTTGATGTGATCTGTCACTGAAGTTTATTTTGACATTCTGAGATTAAAAGCTTCCTCATCATATGCATTTATTGAGGGCTTTTCATACATATCATGAGCATTGTCATTGTCCCAATTTTACTAGTTTTGATAAGCATATTGAAGAATGCTGTTGAGACGTGAATAATCTCAAGAGCTTGTCTGCCCATCAGCTTTTGCTTTTCACGATTGTTGGATTGCTGCTTGTGTTTTTTTAATGGTTGTTGAGGTTTTTAAGAGTACATGTTGTCCTCTATTTTGTCTCCTCTAGAATCCAAAGTTTTGACTATCACTTTTGCCCATTTTGATCTTTCCATCTTTCATTTTCACACTTGAAAGCTTTTTAAGGCAAAACTTTGCTAAATGTGTTAGGATGGTAATACAATTTTGAGAAAACACTAAATGAGATGAGATCACAGGCACAACGAAGATTATAAAGATGATTTAGAATTACCACTTAGCGAAAATACATCCACTTGCTGCACTTAACTGAGAAAATTATACGCTTATTGTAGTTGATACGACACAATGAGAGAACATAGCCTCCTTTTGTATGATACATATTGAAGCAAGGAAGGAGGAAGCCAATGGAAAGGCTATTGCAAAATTCTCCTTTCTTATCGTCAACGCATACATGTGATTCCCACTACTGTGTTGTTTAATGGAATTGCTTGAACCCCCATTTCTTCCTGCTCTTTATTTTCTTGCTTTTGTGGGATGTAAAGCCCCGTTTCAATGTTTTTTTAGTATAGTGGTGATAAGGCATGAATTGATAGAACTATTACTAATTCCAATAAAATTTACAAAATCTTGTAAAAGTCAAAAAAATATCTTATAGAAAAAAAATGACTGAAATATATTTTATCAATTTTTGATTTAATATTTCCAATAAATAAGATATTTTCAGTAATATATTGTTGAGAGCTGATGGGATAAAATTTTGAGTTGTAATGTGAACAAATAGCAGTTGTGATCCTCTTGGTCCTCTATAAATTAGGGTCATCTGGTAAACTTCTATGTTCAAAGAATGGAATTTGATTCAGTTTTCCACCAGTGCACTATAGTCTCTAATCGTGAAGGGACATCGAAAAAAACACAAAATATTTTCTAAAAATGCTAAAAGATAAACCAGCATCCTTAACCAATGTTTCTCTTCTTTGATCAAAAGATTTATTAAATTACGGGGGCTTCTGCTCATGAGAATTTTTAATTTTGGAATACATGGCTCTGCGGGAGAGTGAAGTCATGTGGAAGTGCTTATTAACACCAATTTGCAACTGATAGTTCTTAGTTTTACCATAATATTCAGTCCCTAGATTACAGGTAGACTTTGGGATCCAGAACCATATCAAACTTGATGAGCTATAAGATTTCCGTAGCAGCTGCCTTTCGTTGAATTTTGTGTCATGAAACATCTTCCCCAAAAAATTAATATAATAGACTTAAGAATAGCCATTAATTTGATTTGTTAAGTTCGGAAAAATTCTGTACAAAATGTGTCCCATTATCATTTTGACCCATGCAATTCTGTAAGCAGATGCAGCTAATATTATTTGTTATATTTCCTCTGCATGTTATTAGTTTGGTGTCCTTCCCGATTTTAAAATAAAACAGATTACTGAGGGATCATGCCAAAATTGAACGTCTTAAATTGTTGGCTCCTGTGGCAGTTGCTTTCACTTTCAGCATTTATTAATAGAACAATCCTGTGTTTTCTGCTTTACTTGATCAATCATCCAAAATTTGCAAGGTTGGATTTCTTGCTAGCTATCTTGTTACGCCAAATGAATATGAAGTTTCCTTTCTCTGGCGATGGACGAGGGGTTGAGTTTTTAGGAGAAAATATTCATTTAAGTTTTCAGATTCAATTTATGGTTGAATTTTGTGTGGTCATGATGCTCATTATTTATCTTTGTTTTTTATCAGCTTGAATGCAACTGATTTTCTGGAAAGATTGAGAGACAGAAGGATACTCTTTGTTGGGGACTCGCTCAATCGAAACATGTGGGAATCTCTTATCTGTATACTACGCGATAGTGTCAAGGAAAAAAGTAGAGTTTATGAAGTATCAGGACGAAGCAAATTCAAAATAAAAGGTTATTATTCTTTTCGGTTTGAGGTAATAAACTTTATGCTATTATGTCAATTTAGGAATCTATTCTTATATGTGCGTTTAGCTAAAATTTTCTTCTTTTGCTTGCTGTAGGACTACATGTGCTCTGTAGATTTTGTGAGGTCACCATTTCTGGTCAAAGAACTGCTTGTTAAAAATGCAAATGGTTCAGAAAATGAACGGCTAAGATTGGATTTGCTCGATGAGACAACGACTGCTTATCATCAAGCTGATATCGTAGTTTTCAATACAGGCCATTGGTGGACTCATGAGAAAACATCCAACGGGTTAGTTTATACTTTAAATATATAGTGGTAATTGTTGAGAATTGGACTTTATTTAGGGTTCTATTAGAAAAAAAAGGAATATTGAAGAAGCCTAGTGGTTTGTTTGTAAAACATTATAATAACCTATCGAAGCCCATGTTTTGAGTGTACAAACGAGGTTTTGAATAATTCTTTCTTTTTGATGTCAGAGCCTAGTCCTAACCGCCACTCCTCTCTCACTCCCCCGTCCCTCCTGAAACCATCACCATCTTCTCCCCCTATTCAGGGAAGTCACGTGAACCCTTTTGCGGGCGAAGGATTTTAGAATTCTCAATGGCTGGATTCAAAGAAGTAGTGTTGTTTGTGTTATGATCCTGCTCTTGCTACGAGACAATGAAGAAGCGAGGCCGACTGGATTCGCGAGACGAAGAAGAAAAGATGTTGGCCGAATTTGCGAGGCGAGGAAAGAAGTGATGTCGGGTCTATGTGTCGCGATTCTGCTCTTGCTGCGAAACCAGAGAAGCGGCTTCGGTATGAGTAGTAGGGATTGAAATGAAGGACTTCAAATTGACGAAGGGATCCTTCGAACTTGGGAGGTGCAGCCTTATGATTGTGGATGACAAAAGATAGAGGCAGTGTGGGAGGTAAATGAGTGAAACTTCTGGGGAAGATAAATCTCGAGGTTCTGAAGATCTTGTTTGGGCTTATACATGAAGCTTAGGGCTGTAAACGAGTCGAGCTTGAGCGAGCTCAGGCTTGGCTCGTGTTCGACTCGTTCGAAATAGCTCGTGTTCAAAATTGGCTCGTGTTCGAAATTGGCTCGTGAACAGTGTGTTCGTGTTCCGTTCGATTTAAATATTCGTGTTCGGCTCGAAATTGGCTCGTTAAACTTAAATTGAGAAAAATAGATGTAAAGTGTGAGATTCGAATCTAGATCAAATATATAAAAAAAAAGACACTTACCACATTGTCACATGAGGTGTTATGATTTAAATTTAGACATAAATATATATAATATATTATTATATAAATAATATATGTAATATATTGTTATATAAAAAAATTATATAATTTTTTATTTCGAGCTCAAACGAGCCGAACACGAGCAAACAAAGAGCTGTTCGTGTTCGACTCGTTTATAATTCGAGCTTTGAAAATTTGTTCGTGTTCGGCTCGTATACTTAACGAACGAGCCGAACACGAGCTACTTAACGAGCCGAACACGAGCTATTCGCGAACAACGAGCTTTTTTGACAAACCTAATGGAGCTAGTGTCTTGACAAAACCATTAATTCAACAAGTGCTTCGATGCAAGTGAAGCTACTCCCTCACGTGCATCTAAAACTTGATGGATCGACCACGTATCTGAGTTGGTCACATCGCATTGAGGCAGCTCTAGTAGGGTAGAGACTAGAGGACACATTCAACCCATTAATTCTACTTATCTCTCCTCATCCAGACATTGCATTTGCAGTAAGTCTAGTAGTCAATTCATACACAAATCTAAAGAGTAGCACATTCAAGCCACGTGTAAAAGTCGTAAATATCTCAAATAAAACCCAGAAAATTTAATTTTATATAAAAGAAATTGTACTCTATAAGTTGAAGGATGCACAGATGCAGGCTATGCTAGATCATTGGTGGATAAAAAGTCTACTTCAGGGTATTCTATATTTAGGAGGAAATTTTATAGCTTGGAGAAGTAAGAAATAATGTGTGATTTCAAGAGCAAGTGCTGGAGCTTAATTTAGAGCATTGCACAAGGGATCTTTAAGCTTATATGAGTTAAAATTATTTTAGGAGATTTAAAAATTAAGTGGCAAGAGCCTATGAAAATTTATTATGATAATAAGTCAGGCATCAATATTGCACATAATTCTGGATAACATAATTATATCGAGCATGTTGAGGTTTTTAAGCTCTTTATAAAAGAAAAACTAGAAAATGACCTGATTTGGGCTCCGTATTTGTCCATAAGAAATCAACTGACTGATATATTTACCAAAGGACTCTGAAACCCAACATTTAAAAAAATATCACAAACAAACTTGGAATGATAGAGATCTATCACTAGTTTGAGGGGGAGTTTTGAATATCCGCTCCAATCATAACAAATAACTGAAGGCACACAAATAAAGATTTATATTGTTGGATTTGTTTATTTATGCCCTCAAATAACAAAGAATGTAAGGCATGGATCGACGTTCTGTACCGTTACATTGTTCTCTCTACGACTCTTGGATTGTAATTCGCGTGCTTTCCGATAGGTTCGCTGACCCCTAATTATTTTTCCCTCATTTTTGATTTACTCTTATTTTGTAATGTCTCTGGGTACTGTATATGTATTTACCATTACTTATTCTCTACAGTGATAAACAAGTTGTAACTAGCATTGCGAAAGATTGTGCTTGTCATGCCCCGACCCAAGAACTGAGGATGCTAACTAGGAAACAAATGATTCAACAGTACTTCAATTTTTTTTTTATTAACATGTAAATTGTCAAATAATAACATCTTCTAAAATTAAATAGCCACTAAACATTACAACTTTGTTCCTGTCCAAATCATAATATTAATAATGTCTTATAAATTTGAATACAAATGACTAAAACACGATACAAACTAATATATGTTTTCTTTTATACATATCCTTGGTTCCTTCTCTTTCACTATATACAATTTTTTTTTTCCTTTGACTTGTCCAACTTAAATGATCTTTTCCTAAAAAATGAATATCAATAAATGTGGCGAGTCATCCGGTGAATTAGTGGTTTATAATAGGTCTATGATATATCTACTCTAAGAATAATAATAGTATGCATGCACGCCATTAAGCAGTAACATTTTCTTTTGATAAGAGTTTTAATAATGGACATGTTTAATATATTCAACAATAAGAAAGAACACTTGTCTAGTAACATGATCTTTTGGAAGGAAACTTATCGTCATATGTCATATCTTATCTTTTAATAGAGTAAACCGGTCACAAGATGCTGCTTAATTTGTACCACTCATGACACTTATTTCTTATCCCTTTCCTAATTTGAAAAAAAAAAGGTGATAACTTTATGCACGGGTGTGCATATCCTCAGCAAGTACCATATGAAGTGGTTTTCCATCATTCAACATATATTTTATTGTTTAACTTATTAATTACATTTATCTTGTCGTACATATATTTCTGACATAAGATGAATTTCATCTAATATTTATAAGAATATGAAGATGGTTGTATTAGTTCAAGCGAATGTTCATTTAGTCATTTTCCAATGACAAGATGCATGATTAAATTTAACAAATATATATTAGAAAGGGTATATCAATCATTATGTAAAACTTGAGAGAACCTTCATATTTACTATAAAATAGGAATATAATTACCAACCCTGAGATATGTATGTACTATTCTTCAATTTTGTCCCCATCTTCTTGTGTACTTATCTTTATAAACCATTCCCGATACCATGTACAAGAAACACATAATAAAATTCATATCCAACCTTTTATACTTGAACATATCTTAATATTCTCTCCTAAATTAAGATTTAATTCCTATGAAATTTATATCTATGTAATTGTGATTTTTTTGACTTTTTGGACTCTAATATTTCCGAGTGATAATTAAATTGCTTATCTTGTGAAGAAATTCGACCAAACAAAAAAATTCTAAACCAGTTAAAACTTAGGCGTCCTTAAAACAAATCATTATCCCAACTTGTTTAAAGTTTAAATTTTAATGCAATTAGTAAAATATTATTGATTTTATCCTTAATTACTCAATTTATAGATTATTCTCACTAAATCAATTTTCGTATTGTTTTCCCATTCTACAATTTTAAATATCAATCAAAACTTTTATATGGGACAGTTCAGTCAACTAAGGCATGTTTCATTTTTTGCCTGAACTACCTTAAATCAAGCTCGAAAGGTGGATGAAGAATGAGATTCCATCTTATCACCCGAGAGGGACAATTAAATTTATAGTTTTTTTTTTATGAGATACTGATGCGCTTTTGTATGGAATCATCAGGATAAACTACTATCAAGAAGGCAGTCACGTGTACCCTGTTCTTGAGGTCATGAAGGCATACAGAAAGGCTCTTACCACCTGGTCTGAGTGGGTTGATATGTATCTTGATTCCAGCAGAACTCAAGTTGTTTTCAGAGGATATTCTCTCACCCACTTCAGGTAAAACAACAATTCAGACTGCAGTTAGTGTTATTTTCTATCACAATTCACGAATCCATCGTTCAAACTTAATCTGAAATTTTTTTTCTTAAATTTTAGATCCGAGAAAGTCATATCACAGGTTTTAGGGATCATTTTAATATTATGTTTTTTTTTTTGAAAACAGTATGTATTCCGTTGTATCATTAGAAGCTCGAGCTTTCATTTTTTCGGGAGAATGGTGCATCGATGCCAAATCAACCTCTAATTAATATGATGTTCAGTCACATTTTGATATGAGTCTCCTTTCTTATATCATTTATTTATTTTTGAAACATTGCCATTTTTGTAGTTCAATTTTATTAGTTTATATAGCTTTTCAAGTTTGTTAATGATATGGTTTTATGATTAGTAATAATATAGAAATGTATAGCTATTTTTCAGTTTCTAAGCCACCTATTCAAACGATGGGAGTGTTGAGATTTGTATCTTATTTTGAGGGGTCTAATTATAAAGAATGAATTGCTAAAAAAAAAACTCCTTTCATTTCATTGATGAAGGGCTTATATTGAGCCTTACAAGTTACAACATATACAAATAAATTTGTAGACTTCATCTATTCACAAATAGGACTCTATATTAGATACAAATCTCAACACTCCCCCTTAAGATGGGCAAAAGATATTGACTGAGCCCATCTTGTCACATAACCTAGACAAATCTAATGAGCTAAGTCCTTTGGTGTGGCAGTCAGTTACTTGCTCTTCAGTCGCTCTATGACTTAGCTTCAGAGTCTGTTATTCAGCTTTCCTTGATAAAGAACCTATCAATCTTTACATGTTTAGTTTTATCATGTTGCATCGAGATGTTGGTGATGCTGATCGCTGACTTGTTGTCGCACCATAATTTTGTTTGAGCTCCTTGGTCCACCTTGAGCTCTACCAACAAGGCTTTCAACCACATTATCTCACAACTCCTAAGACCATGACCATATATTCTGCCTCTATTGTTGATCTCGCTACTGCCGATTGTTTCTTGCTCTTCCAAGGGACAAAGTTGCCCCCTACAAACATGCAGTATCCAGATGCGGACCTCCTGTTATCAACACAACTCGTCCAGTCAGAATCACAAAAGCCCTCAATATTTATATGGTCATACTTTTTGAATATTAAGTTTTTCCTTGGTGCACTCTTTAGATACCTCATTATCTGATACGCTGCATCCATATGACCCTTCCTTGGTTCATGCATGTAGCGATTCAACACACTTATTGCAAAAGAAATATCGGGTCGAGTGTGACAAATAGATCAGGCGGCCCACCAAACTTTGACACCTCTCACGATCAACTGATTCACTTGCTTTTGTACTAGGCTTGATGTTCTGATCAATTGGAGAGACTACATGTTTGCATCCCAACATATTTGCCTCCATGAAAAGATCTAGTACACACTTTTTCTAGGATAGGACCATCCTCTCAGGTCCATGGGTGTCGGCACTTAAAAGAAGAAAGTTATGTTTGGGGGTCGCCCGTAAGAAGCTGTCGGTCGCCGGAATCGAAATCCCGTCGCCCGCTTCGGAAGGACTTTTTAATTTACGTATATAT